AATATCTAAGAGTCTAAGGGGAATACCTTGGGGAAGAAGGTTTAGTCGAGGAGAGTCGCTACCTCGATTAGGATCATCTTTATTTTGCATCAACTCACCCGACAAAAGTGCTTGGGTATATACGTTGTGGTCTATTCCAAAAATCGAGGTGGATGAACCCTGTGACCTCTCTCGCTCGACTGCAGGTTTAGAGCCAATTATTTCAACAGAATCGGAGCTTGAATATTCTTCTATTTGACGGACGAGAGAGGCAGGAATAGAGCCAGAAACGGAGTCAGACCCGGAATCTATGAGAAAGAGTCGAGAAACGAAGATCAGTATAAAAGTGAAAGAAGCCGATAGAGTACGTCGGTATGTGAAGGCTTCTAGCCATAAAGTCGACCTCAGGGGAAACTGCTTGGGCCAGAAGGATTGTGGAAAAGGAAAAAGGCCCGAGCCCAACATGGACTCGTCAGAAGACGAGAGTCGATAGCAAAGAAGGAACGGGGAATACCAAGGTCGACAGAGGTCGACGCGCGAAGAAGATAAAGTCGACTACGCCTCGAAAAGATGACTTTCTCATAAACATAATCTTAAATCGGAAAAAGCATGTTTTAAGATCTAGCACTAATACATCCAGAATCGTTCAAAGATCCTCAAGAACACAAAGAACATACATAGAACTCCAAAATCAAAAACCCAGAAAATAGGCACAAAAATCTTTCAGAAATAAAGGATAAGGGAAACTTACACATATTGATGGGAGTAAGAAGTTCAGAAAGTGCTGGAGAAGTAGCCGGAAGGAGGTGCACGCCGGAATCGCTGGATGCTTTATTGCCGGAAGAGAAGAGAAAGCTCAAGAATCCTTGAGTGCGAAAAGTGTGAAGGGGAGGAAGAAGAAAATACTTATAGGAGGAACTGTGAAACCCTGGCCGTTGGATTAAAGTAAAAATCAACGGTTCAGATGTGGCACAGAATTCGAAGCGGCAAAAGAAAAGATGAGGTGGCGTGTCAGGTCCCAATTCAAAAATTCAAAATCCGAAATAATGATAGTGGATATGCTCAGAAGAAAGTAATAAAGTTGAACCATAAGCGTCCTAGTCGAATCACAGGAGTCGCCGACGAGACGATTTGAGAGTAAAGACGAGACGACTCACCAACGAAAGAAAAAGGAAGGCCCAATTACTAAACTTACTCTTAAGCTCTAAGTCGCTTAGAGTAATTCTTTGGGGGGACTAGATGATATAGCCCTATTGTCATAGCCCGATTCAGGCGTTAGTTACTCGACTCACGCTGCCAAGAATATCATCAAGACGATACCTCCAAAGTCGACATGGCCTATCAATCATATAAGGATCACCACTGGTCTAAGGACGATCAAAGGACGACTTTAGGAAGTCGACTTGGTTTAAGTCGACTTATGCGCTAGAAGGCGAATGAACATTCTAAGAACCTCAGATATACTGACAGGACCATAAGTCGACTCGACAAGGCTCCGAATCGACTTAGAGTACTTCTGGCGACTCACATTTACCTCAATGTCGAAGCAGGGTTTCCTGAGCTAGAGAATCTATACGAGATAAGAAGGAATCTAGGTGCTGACTCAGAGAGTGGGCAGAATGTGAAGCGACCAGGGCATTTTGGACACTTCATGTAAGTCGGCTAGGGCATTTCAGGTATTTCCAGTGAGCATTTTTACCCTTATATAAAGGAGTAGAGGTGACTCCAAACCCTAACCATTATTCTCCTCATTCATTATTCAGCTGTTGCTCCTACTGAGCAGAGCTCCTCCTCTCCTCATTCACTGACTTGAGCGTCGGAGGCTCTTCACCGGAAAACACTTCCGGTGTTGAGTTCTTGCAGGTGTTCACAGCGGACCACGGGCGACTTGGAGACGATTCGAACAGACCGGAGCTCATTTCCACCGGTTCACTCCAGTCTAGGAGGAGACCCATCATATATATAAAAAGAAGAAAATAAAACAAATATACAGCAGTACAGAAGGATACTTGTGATGTCTCGATCAAGTGTAGACTGGGTCGCCGAAACTGACAGTTTCGACATGCCGCTTTCTGAACTCACCATCGAAATATGGTTTCAATCTCTGCCCGTTGACCACGAATAAATCGCCATTAGCCGGATTACGAAGTCGAACGGCTCCGAAAGATAGTACCTCATCTATGATATACGGCCCACTCCAGCGTGATTTATGTTTTCCAGGAAAGAGACGAAGGCGGGAGTTAAATAGAAGTACCTTCAAGTCGGGCTCGAGATTCTTACAGACAATAGTGGCATCGTGAAGCTTCTTCACTTTGTCCTTGTAAATCTTTGCGCTCTCGTAAGCCTCATTCCTCAACTCTTCGAGTTCCGAGAGCTGTAACATCCTCTCTCGTCCGGCTGCATCAAGGTCAAAATTCACCTTCTTGATTTCCCAAAACGCCTTGTGCTCAATCTCAACCGGTAAGTGGCACGATTTTCCATAGACTAGCCTAAAAGGGCTCATCCCCAAAACTCCTTTGCAAGCTGTCCTTTGGGCCCACAGTGCATCGTCAAGCCGACTCGACCAATCCTTCCTAGACGAATTCACTGTCTTCTCGAGAATGGTCTTTATCTGCTTGTTACTTGTTTCTGCCTGGCCCGATGTTTGAGGATGATAAGGAGTGGCCACCTTATGAAAGATACCGTATTTTTTCATCAGCTTCTCAAAGACACGGTTGCAAAAATGCTTCCCTCCATCACTCACAATAGCCCGTGGAAAACCGAACCTGCTCAAAATATGTCCTCGCAAAAACTTGATAACCACATTAGCATCACATGTCCGTGTGGGGATGGCCTCAACCCACTTGGACACGTAATCTACAGCAAGAAGAATAAATTCAAAACCAAAAGATTTGGGAAATGGTCCCATAAAGTCAATACCCCAAACATCAAAAATTTCAACTTGTAGATTGTTCACAAGGGGCATCTCATTCCTAGGACCAATGTTCCCAAGTCTTTGGCATCTATCACAATATTTGCAAAAACTATGAGCATCTCTAAAGAGAGTTGGCCAAAACAAACCTGATTGGAGGACTTTCAAGGCGGTCTTCCGTCCTCCAAAATGTCCTCCACAATTGAGCTCGTGACAAAACGCGAGAACATCCGATTGCTCTTCTTCGGGCACAAACCTCCGAAGAATCTCGTCTTTTCCCATCTTAAAGAGGAATGGATCATCCCAGAAATAACTCCTACACAACAAAACAAAACGCTTTCTCTCTTGGGAAGAGATATCAGGCCGCAATTTTCCACAACACAAGTAATTCACAATGTCAGAGTACCAAACACTTTTAGACACCGCATGCACATGCTCATAGGGAAAATTATCATTAATGGAATGGTGCATAATCAATGAAGATGATGATTCAGATGGTACTATGCGTGACAAGTGATCAGCAACTACATTCTCGGACCCCTTCCTATCTCTAATGTCAACATCAAATTCTTGCAGTAACAAGATCCACCGGATGAGCCGTGGTTTAGAATGAGTTTTGCTCAAAAGGTACTTCAAAGCCGCATGGTCAGAGTGGATAATCACTTTAGAACCCAAAATGTATGATCTAAATTTTTCAAGAAAAAAGACCACGGCTAGAAGTTCCTTCTCGGTGGTAGTATAATTCTGTTGGGCCCCATTAAGGGTCAAGCTAGCGTAATAAATCACTCGAAGCAATTTATCAACCCGTTGACCCAAAACGGCACCCACTGCAAGATTAGATGCATCACACATGATTTCAAAAGGGATTGACCAATCAGGGGCAATAACAATGGGGGCACTCACAAGCTTGCTCTTCAATTCATTAAAAGCACATAAACAAGCATCATCAAAGTTATAAGGAACATCTTGAGCAAGTAAATGGCAAAGAGGCTGACTAATTTTAGAAAAATCCTTAATGAAATGCCTATAGAACCCCGCATGCCCCAAGAAACTTCTAATCCCCTTAACATTCACAAGAGGGGGAAGTTTTTCAATCACATCAACCTTGGCCTTATCGACCTCAATCCCCCTACAAGAAACAATATGACCTAAGACAACTCCACTTCTAACCATAAAATGACTCTTTTCCCAACTCAAGGTCAGATTGGACTCACTGCAACGTTCAAGGACTCAAGACAAATTGCAAAGACAATGGGAGAAAGAATTACCAAATATAGAGAAGTCGTCCATGAATACCTGCAAGCAGTCCTCAAGCATATCTGAGAAGATGGAGAACATGCACCTCTGAAATGTGCCCGGGGCGTTGCATAGGCCAAAAGGCATCCGTCTGAACGCGAAAGTACCAAAGGGGCATGTGAAAGTCGTCTTGGGCTGATCCTCTGGTGCAATGGCCACTTGGTAGTAGCCAGAAAGTCCATCCAAGAAGCAGTAGAACTGATGGCCCGAGAGACGGTCAAGAATCTGATCAATAAATGGCAATGGAAAGTGGTCCTTCTTGGTCACAGCGTTCAGTCGCCTATAATCAATGCACATGCGCCACCCGGTAGTGATGCGGGTGGGGACCAACTCCTTTTTGTCATTCTCGATCACGGTAATACCTCCCTTCTTTGGCACTACATGAATGGAACTGACCCACTCACTGCTCGCCACCAGATATATCAACCCCTCAGAAAACAACTTCAGCACCTCTTTCTTTACTACCTCCATTATATTCGGGTTTAGCCGTCGTTGGCTATCCCGAAACGGTTTGGCTCCTTCTTCCAGGATAATCCGGTGCATGCATGTGGAGGGGCTGATCCCCTTGATGTCTCCTAGACTCCACCCGATTGCCTTCTGGTTCTTTTTGAGCATGGCTATCAGCTCCCCTTCTTCCTCACTGATGAGCTCTGCAAAAATGATCACCGGCTTCTGATGGGCATCATCCAGGAAAACATACTTAAGGTGCTTAGGCAGCTCCTTAAGCTCGAGTGTGGTTTCAGCTCGGGTATGGCCTTCTCCTACCTCAAAAAGCTCCACTATAGGCTCTTCCTCTTCCTCAAAAGCCGGCAACAAGACGTCTTCGAACTTCTGAAATACCATCTTATCCACAAAAAGGTCAGCAACATCAATAAAAGCACATTCTTCTATGAAATTTACCGAAGATGAAGACATGGCCTCTCGGACAGAAATAGACACCGACTCCCCCAGAACCGTCATATTCAGAGTATCATTCTTCACATCAATGAGGGTATTAGTCGTCGCCATGAAAGGTCTCCCGAGAAGGATGGTGTGATCCTTCCCATTCTCGTGCACATCCCCGACGTCCAGAACAACGAAGTCCACTGGAATGATAAGCTTACCCACCTTCATGAGAACATCCTCGACTATTCCCTTGGGATACCTGATGGAACGGTCTGCTAACTGGAGGCACATGCGAGTTGGCCTCAAATCCCCAAGGCCAAGCCTTTGAAAAATCGAGAAGGGCATGAGATTGATTCCGGCTCCGAGGTCAAGCATCCCCGAAGCTACCTTCCCGTTCCCCAAGGCTATCTGGATAATGAAACCTCCGGGGTCACGTTCCTTCTTGGGCAAATCGTGCTGCATTGCACTTGCCGCCTCATACACGACCACCTTCTCTCCATCTTCAAACTTCCACTTCTTGGTCACTAAGTCCTTGAAGAACTTACCATATGACGGCATATTCTTAATCACATCGAGGAGCGGCAAGTTGACATTCACCTTGGAGAGCATGCTGAAAAGATCTCGGAACTATTTCTCTTGCTTCTCGTTCCTAAGTCGGTCCGGAAAGGGAATGCGCGGCTTGTACGGATTCGGCGACTTATGTAGCACTGGCTCGTCTGTCGCTTTCCCGGACTCTGCTTCATTGATCTTTTCTGGATGAGACTACTGATCCTCGGGCTCGGGCATCTGAACTTTGTTGTCCACTTCCTTCCCGCTCCTGAGCACAGTGATAGCTTTAGCTTGCTCTGGCTGACTTGGCAACTTCCCCTTGTTCATCTCGGTCTCAATGGTTCCAACTCTGGCGGCTAGTTGCCCTAACTGTGTCTCTATGCGCTTGATGGAGGCATCCTGATTGACATCCCTCTGCTCACGATTGGCCATAAGCTGAAGGATTTTGGCAACGTCGTCTTGGAGGTTCGAGTTCGACCCCCCTTCCGGTCCCCTCTGCTGCTGCTGTGGCTGCTGTGGCTGGAAGTTCGGCCGGGGCACAAAGCTGGGTCGAGGTTGTTGCTGCATGAAGTTCGGTCGGGGTGGCTGAAGGGTGTTGGAGTTGTTTGACCACGAGAAGTGCGGGTGGTTCCGCCATCCTGGATTGTACATGTTGGAATATGGGTCATTGACTGGCCGATTCTGGTATCCTTGTAAGGCACTGGCATCTGCATACTGCTCACTGGGGTCTTGCTCGAAAGATGAGGGGCATACTTCGGACCTATGCCCTGGGACTCCACACGCCCCACAAGTATCAACAGCGAATGTATTAACCGGCTGAGAACCTCGTGCGGTAAGCAACCTCATCTGCTCAGTAAGCTCAGCTAGCTGTTGGGCCACCGTATCATTGCTTGTACCGACCTTGTTCACTACTGCCCTCTTGCCTCGCGTGCTCTTCTGCGACGAGTTCGTACTCATCGTCTCAAAAATCTCAAACATCTCCTCGGCTGTCCTTGCTCCGATATCACCTCCCGCCGTGTTGTCGACCATATACTGCAAGTTCTGGTGGAGGGAATCATAGAAACAGTTCATGAGTAGCCCCGGAGAGAGGTTGTGATGGGGGCACTGCCGTTGGAGATCCTTGAACCGCTCCCAAGCCTCATGAAGAGACTCGTTCGGTAATTGAGCAAACGAGACGATCTGTGACCGGAGCTCTTGAGTCTTCTGATGGGAGTAATACCTCCCAATGAACTTCGAGTACACCTCGGTCCATGTAGTGAGAGAGCCAGGTGCAAGTGTCATGAACCAGGCCTTGGCCCGGTCTTTCAGCGTCTCGGGAAAACACCTCAGCTTCAATTGCTCGTCATTAAGGTCATTGAGAGGGAAAGTGTTGAGGACATTGTAAAATTCCCGGATGAAGTTGAGTGGGTCCTCGCTTGGAAGCCCGTGGAATGCCGGCAACTGATTGTAATGAATCATTTTAAGCTCGTAGTTCCGTGCAGCGTCCGGCAAACGGATGCATGAAGTGACTGGCCCAGTAACCGGCTGGGCCAAACCGGCTGGGCCAAAGTTCGAAGGGTGTTACGGGGAGCTTGTTGTTGTCGTTCACCCATATTGAGGTTGCTGCCTTCGGATGATATTGGAGAATGTTCGTCTTCCCCGTGCGATTCCAGAGTAAGCTCTTCCAGCAGATCCCTCAGGCTCTCGTTGACAGATTTGTTGATCGGAGATAGCAGTTTGCGTCCACTCCTGGTACGCATACACAAAGACAAGAAACCGTCACGAGCACCAGATAAACAAAGAAGAAAAACCTAAGAAAAACAAAGAACAAAAAAAAAATCAAGAACTAATAAACTAGTAAAATAAAACGAAGAGAAACACTAAAAACAAAATGAATAGGTGCACAAAATAATCCTAAACCTTCCCCGGCAACGGCGCCAATTTGTTGTAAGTATTTTTACCGGAGTAGAATCGAAAGATTCGACACCGGGTCGTATCGCAAGGAAGGTTAGCCGGATATTAAGCACGTTTACTCAACACAATTAAAAGAAATAAAAGAAATAAAATTCCTAAACATTCTAAATCAAATAATTGGATGGGTTTTTAGTTACCAACTACTGCAAATAATTAAATAAAGCAGAGAAAGTAGTAAGCAAGGACGAAGAACAATTATGATAAAGGCGCTAGGGTATCGGGGATTTCGCTTCCGGTTCTCAATGAATTTAGCAAGCAATGAATTACTCGGCTAAAGGACTCAATAAACTAACTCATCTAGAGATTCATTCTCAATATCTCACGAAACAAGAGAATAAACATAAACAAATCATTAACGAATCAATTAGCACATAGACAATACGTCACCGAACAAGCCTATTCTTAACGAGCCTAGATCGAACAATTTATTCCATTTCGGTTTCTAAATTGATTAATTAGATTAAGATGGAGATCAAGCATCTAAACCCTAGGTTAAGCACAACTCGGAAAGATGAGCAAGTACCAAGCATTAAAACAAAATCGAACTGGACCAATAATCCCCTACCCCTAGCTAATGAATTTAGCTACTCATTATGCATTCAACATCAACATATTCAATAATCAAAGCCATCTCAATCGAAAGGAAAACGAAAGTAAAGCTTACGATTAACGAATCCAATGTCGAGAACAAGAGAAAAAACCAAATCTAAGAGTCAAATCTCTAAGTTTTCACCCTCAAGATTGATCTCCAAGAGAAACAAGTGAAAAATATGGGTTCTGGAACTTATTTCGTACGAGAAAGAACAAAACCTAACATAGAACATAATGAAAAACGATCTCAAAATCTGACTTAAAAAATTTGTAAGTCGCGGCCTTCGCGGGCCGCGGAGCATCTCGCGGGCCGCGGCGTAGAAGCTCCGCGGCCGCGACTAACCCCCGAGGCCGCGGGGGAGCTTGGTCTGAAGTGCTGATCGCCTGCAACATTTTGTTCGCCGCGGCCGCGGTGAAGGAACCGTCGCGGGCCGCGGCGAGTAAAACTGGGCAGTGCAAATTTGTTCTCCGCGACCTCGGGAGCATAGTAGCGGGCCGCGGTGAAGGCTGTTTTCTGGCAAGGTGACGGTTTTCGGCTTCGTACGCACACATTCGGATACGGAATCGGATTCCGTCTTTTCTTACTCGACCCCAACTCATCCATCTATATAGTAGTCCACGCATGGTCATTCATCGAGCGACTCATCCTGCACATCACCACCGACAAGAAACGCACGGAAAACCAGAGAAGAGAAACAAAAAGACCAAAAACGAACAAAAGAAAGGAAATGCAAGACGAGACTCAAAATGGACCAAAAGCCAAAAAGAAATACCTAGAATGGGGAAAAATAAACATAAAATAAACACGAAAACACTAACAAATATGGAACGAACAAAAATCGAATTACAAAGTCTGAGAATGTCTAAAAAATGCCCTAAGCTCGATCCTTATGCTTTCCAAATTCAAAATCCACGTAAAGCGCTTTTAGTTACAAGCAGGGGTTAGCGCCGCTAAGGCAGAAAAGTCCGGAGTGTCCGGGGTCGTTAAGCAGGGAAAACGCCGCTAGCTAAACCTTTCTTAGCGGCGCTAAGGCCCGAGCTGCTCCAAAATGTGATGTTTCAGACTCTCGTGCTCTCGGCTAGTGTCTCTCTGGTCTTGCCCAAGCTGAAAACTCGATCCTCGCATGTTTGGGTCTCACAAAATGATACTCGAACAACACACTTCTCCACCAACCAATCAACCTAAAAACTGGAACCACCACAACCGGAGAACACGAAAAACATGAAAAATAGGAAGAAAACAGAGAAAACACCAAACATACCAATATAAAGATAAATATACAAGAAACGACTAGATGGACGGGAAAAACTTAAGAAACGACCTAAAAAGAGGGAAACGACACAAAAAATACAAAAAAAAAACAAAAAAACAAAAATGGGACAAACAACTTACTATATATATAGACATTTTAAAACAATGAATAACACCACCATAAAACCTAAATACATGCTTTTCAAAGTTTTGACTTATGTTTCACAAAATACCACGTGCACTTATTTGCATTCAATCAAAACACTTGATTTTTTTTCCAACGGTTTAAATTAAATAGTAGTGAGTAACACATGCGATGCACGAGACCTGTCCCTTAAAACCTTTTTTAAGACATTACCTGAAATATATTTATTTATATTTATCATCTCATTATTTTTGAAAGAAAAGGAATACAAAATATGAAAAATCATATATAAACAACTCTTAAAATAATATGTTGTGTGGTTTCGATCTTCATCTTACAGTTGGAGATTGATTTTATATTCAAATTTACCGACAATCCTATCTTATCTGTATAAGTTGGAGATATATTTTATATTCAAATTTAAATATTTCTCATGTTTTTAGTGTAAGTCGGAAATAGATTTTATATTCAAATTTATTCTTATATTTATGAGATTTTATCCAAATTGAAAAAGAAAATAGATTATATATTCAAATTTACCCATATATTATGGGATTATAAGCAAATTTAAAAATTGTTGTAATTAGTTTTGGTTCAAATTCATTCCTCAGGCACATTTTATATTTTTATGTAGTTCAAATAATAGAAAAACATCCACATAGTATGTGATTCTTTCCGACATTTTAAATTTTTTTGTTATTATATAAACTAGTATAGAGCCCGTGCGATGCACGAGGTGCACAATTTTAAGATCATTTATCCATTCTTATAATTATATAAATGAATAAAAAAATGTACGAGATATATATAGTACGTGACTTGTAATAGGCCAAAATGTGAACACGGGTGATGCACGGGGTGCACAATATAAAGGTCATTTATTAGTGCATACCCCGTGCGATTAACGTGATACATATAATAAATCAATTATTTCTATAGGACTTGTACGTCTAGACAAAAAAAATAATAGGCTTGGATCATCCATATTTCACATCTTTTAATAAGCGTCGTTTATTTAAGCAAAAAAAATTAACATGTTATTTAATATATAATTCCGCTAACACGTCATACTAATATTTATTTGATTTTAGAATACATATTTATTCATTGA